TCTCCCCCCGCGCCTCCCTCTTACTCCTTCCTCTGAGAGAGACACACACACACACACACACACACACACACACACACTTGCAAACTCACTCATACACACACACACACACACACACGCACCAGTTCACACGGTCAACATGCAAACAATAACTAGTAATGTTTTCTTTAACATTTGGGTTTTAAGCAAGACACTAGTGATATATGGAGTGAAAAATAGAGAAATCCAAAATCTCCTCTGTAAAAACCTTTGTCAACAAAATCAAACAAGAATCATGAACCTGACTTTAATGTATGACAAATTAGTGCATATTCAAGTAGTTAATGCCTCATTTGCATATTTGAATATAACATTTCAGAAGCATGTAATGCAAAAGAGTGTCTAGGGTTGTTTAGTTTTAGTCACATGAATGCTCTCCTGTGATTGGTCCCTGCAGCAGTCCAGCCGCCCGTCCAACACTGTGGTGCACTCATCTGCGGGCGGCGGCGTCTGGGCCATGCTGGGGTCGCTGCTGTACCCGCTGCTGGCCGTCTGGAGGTTCATCAGTGGCTTCCTGTTCAGCAGCCCTCCTCCACCTGCTGCCGCCCAGAACCAACACACGACAAACGCGTACGGCTCTAGCGCTGCCGCAGAACCAAAGAGGTGTGTCTGTGACCTCACTGTGATTTCAGTTACCTCACCGTGACCTCACCGTTACTCCACCGTAGTGCTGGGCGGTATACCGGTTCATACCGAATACCGGTGTTTATTTTTGTTATGATATGAATTTTTAAAATACCGCAATACCGGTGTATGCCACTTAAACACCATTCGGAACGCAACACTGTTTGAAAGGGGTCTCTTTTCACTGTTGCACTGTGGTGAGGGAACAGCTGTATGTGTTACTAAGCGTGAAAGTTCAGAAACTGAAGCTGTAGAACTAATAGAACACAAGGTCTGACTTTCCCGGAGAAGTGTCGCCTCTCTCGGCGTCTGTTCTGTGCAGTGAGCGGCAGAGAAGCACCGCAGCCGACTCCTCAATAAATGAGTACAACACAGCGTTTCCTAGCACCTGTCGCTTACTGATTGTTTTTTTTTAGTTTGTTACTCAGACGCAGACAGTGCGCTGCATGAGACAAAAAAGTAATCTAGCCAGAACAACCGCATAGCCGCTCTTTAGTGTAGATGCATGCTGATTTTATCAGACGATGCCGCGATTATAAATGAGAGTGACTCCTGGTGAACATGTATTAAAAGGGGTCGTGTTTAGTCACTATTTAGAGTGGTATTTTGACTATTCACTCATCATGACAGTAAAATAGGGCATTCTAAGTCAATACACTGCAGTATTTCCTCTCAATCAGTAGAAGATATGGTTAACACCCGGTCATGCATGAAAATTATACCGATTATACCGTGAAACCGGTATAATTTCGAAAAAAAAACTTGTTTGTTTGCTGGTTTTTATTGTATTTGTTGTACTTGTATTTTTTAAATTGTTTATGCCACGAAAATAGCCTTCGATGCTGACATGGCATCAAAAGATTATATGCTATACTATACTTCACTGTGACTAACTTCACTGCAGCCTCACAAACTTCGGTTTACCAGACACTGTTTGGTGTCCGGTTATTGTGTGTAAGTGAGATACAGATACAGAGTTTCTGCTCAATTCTGCTGCTTTTGCTGTTTTCCGCTCCAGAGATGCGGTTCGTAAGAGGGTTCTTGAGAAGAGGCCCGAGGACTTCAAGAAAGATGGGAAAATATACCGGCTACGGACTCAAGAAGACAACGAGGACGACAACAACACGTGGAACGGGAACTCCACGCAGCAGATGTAGCGCGGCCAGCCTCTGTGCTTCGAGTGTGTGTCAGTCTTAACGGTGGGTTGATCATTTAGGGCTTTGATTTGCATTCCCCTTCCCTCCAGCTCCACCCTGCATGGGTAAATCAGATCAGGTTAGCTAACTCGCTTTAACAGAGATCCTCTGCGTGCCCAACACTTCAGCGAGGACGACTGCAGGCTGGAGAAGCACAGGTTCCAGGCTTTGATGCGTTAGCTGCATCGGTTATCGCCTGGATTGATTTAATACTGTAACCGCCGCTGTGAATGCGGTCTGTTGTGAATATCCGAGGGTTTGTGGCGTTTTATATGGTGGTTTAACCCCACAGCGTCATAAACCGCCTCGGCAATAGAATGTCATTTCTACTAGTTTGAGCACAGATGCTACTTGATCCTTTAACGATAGAATAAAGAATAAAATGTTTTTCAATGAAACGCTTCGACTGAAGTCATTCTTCTCTTTTGATTTTGTGCTCCTATTTAATCTTCTAGAACTGTCTGTGTCTTCATTAATGTATAAATGTATTAATCGTGTCACAATCATTTGCAAAAATACATCCGGTTGCTACTCTGTTGTACTCGGTGTGATCATGTTTTGTAATTCATATTAAAGGTAAAAGTATTTTGGGTTCTCATTCCTCATTCTTTTACTGTATCATTTGCGCTTTGGTTTCTTTGAGTTCTGCTTCATGACGCTCGTCTCGCAGAGATCAGAAAGTCAATCAAGGCAGATTACAAATGTGTTTATTATCATTATAAAGTTTCAGATGAAAGCAAACATTTGTGTATCAAACTATATCAAAAGGTTAAAACACTGCTGAATGAAGTGCAGCTCTTTCTCCGGTAGGGCCGTCGAATGATCAATTATCAAATATAATGCAGTAAAAACATGATAATTATGATGTTTCCGTTTTAGTAACAGAAAACACATTTTAAAAACAAAGCAGGAGAGCATGTGGCATGTAAAAGGCTTCCAGCAGACGGATGAAAGGATCAGAGGTCAGTGATTGGCTGATGATCAATTACATGATTATATTCTCTTCTAAAGACATTTGTCGTCTGTTCATGTGTCACATTAAAGAGGGTTGACCCAAATATGAAAATTCTGTCATCATTTACTCTCCCTCGTGTTGTTCCAAACCTGTGTGAGTTTCTTTCTTCTATTGAACACAAAAGAAGAGATCTTGAAGACTGTTGATAACCAAACAGATGCTGGTAGCATTGACTTCAATAGTGTGGAGAATAAAACACCGTTATGGAAGTCAATGGGGACCAGCAACTCTTTTGGAGCAACATGAGGGTGAGTAAATGCAGACAATTTTCATTTTCGGGTGAACGATCCCTTTGATGTCTTTGAAGTTTTCCTCATTTGGGAGCTTTCCTTAGCTGATACTGATCTATGCAATTATCATGTAATTAATGAAGTGATTTTTTAATTGACAGCCCTACTGAAGAATGTTATGTGTGAAAACATCTTCACGTTTTTGTCTCAGTTATAAAAGCAATCTAGACTCTCCCATAACCTCTGCCAGCAGCATTCAGGGTAAATGTGCATTTGTAGAGTTGGCTGGAGGACTATATGGATTTGAAGGTGATGAGGTACTCTGGATACGCTCCCGCGTCACAGAACACCACGAAGATGAACGGGTTCTGGAGGCTGTCCACGGCGCAGTCGTGCAGTCCGGCCCGCGGGTCTGCAGGGTTGATCGGATCCGGCTCCTTCATTCCTTCTCTGCTTTTACACAGCGAGCCCGTCACCACTCGCGCTCGGTAGATGTACTTCAGCCCTTTGTCGTCTGGGTTGGAATACTTGTCCTGGCAGGAGTACCAGGCCTCTTTACCGAAGTAGGTGCCTTCGCCGTGATAGACCGCTTCAGAACAGAGCACATGTCACAGGTCAGTATCGTGAAGCTGCAAGAAACAGGCAGTTACGGGGCACATGTGACGTACCGTTTCTCCCACAGAAGCTGCGGTTGAAGCCGTTCTTGTTGATTTTCTGGCATATCTCTTTGGTCGTTCCGTGATAAAGCTGGCGCTCGTTTGTCTGTTTGGGGTATTTCTTATCCACGGCCTGTTTCAGCACACAGTATCTCTGCCACTGCGACTGACTCTGAATCCTGTCGATCTGAGAAATCACTTCAGACGTTAATAAACACAGGCCTCAACTCAAAATGAAATCAAAATCAACTCTTAATTTCTTAACACAACAGCAATTTATCAGTGCATGTTATTCCAATTTGTAAAACTCTTTCTTGGCCTCTGAAACGACGTTCTTCTTTAGCTGGCATCATGGAGAAAATCAAGCTAGAATATTCTGCTTTTTATGCATTTGGCAGATGCTTTTATCCAAAGCGACTCACATTGCATTCACAATGTACATTGTTTTTGATCAATTTGTGCATTCTCTGATAACTGAACTGTACTCTACTGTTTGAGCTACAAGAATGCTTCATTTCCATATTCTGAAATAAGTCGGATTAGGGATGTGGAATGAGTTGACTTTAAGTACTGATGCTTGTGTTGTGATGTCTGATGTCCGGTGAGATGCGAGTTAAGAGACACTTTACCTGTTGAACCTGGACGGGCTTCACATCACGGTGTATGCTGGATTTCAGAAAGGCTGTTTCTATGTTCTTGTACTCTACTGAATTTGATTGTAATGTGATTATTTCTAAATCCCGTCCATCCATTTTGGTCCATGTTGGAGGGGGATGAATGATTGCTGAGAAACAAACAAGGAAAGTTACAGAAAGAACAGTTTCTGCTATCATATATCTTCAGACGACACCCACAGATGCCTCCTCAACTGAGGAACAATATAGTGTTTAACAGCAACTACAAGCCCTCTTTTGAGGCAGAACTAGTAACTGGATTTTTCAAAGTTTACAAGGTCAGTTTAGCCGAAGTTTGAACTGTACATTGTGCTTTTTTGTTTTATCTTAGCTATCTTTGGGAAATATGTTGTTCTGCTGCTTTTGGAAGGACATAAATCCTGATCGCATAACTTTACACTGATGCTTCTGCTTCTCGTGAACACTTTTGGATCAGTTGTTCCAACTCGTACCCGTATCAGAATCCCCCAGCAGAGTCCTCTTGATCCTGCAGGACTCCCGCTTGCTGTTTGTGACCTCCATCTGTTTGAAGTCCACAGTGTAGGTGTCTCCGTTCTCCTGGTACTGGAAGCTCTTCTCTTTGCGGTGGAAGGTGAGCTCGATGTCGTAGCTGATGTTGGGCTCCAGTGACTCCCAGCGTTCTCCTCTCGCCACCTCCCAGCACAGCGTCTCCCGCAGACGTTTCACCTCACCTTCACGCTTCTCTCGGTCTCGCGCTGCCTGGATGAAGCCGTTTATCTTCAGCACAGCATCTAAGACGTCGTCTCTCTTCCCTGATACTGTTAACTTATCTGAACTGGCCACCAGAACGCTGACTTGATTGGCTCGGCTGAGGGCCACGATGGCCTTCTTGTCCGTTTCAGGAAGGTCTGTGTTGTGGCTCAACTGGACGTCTATACTGAAGCACTCCTGCTTGACCAGCTCGTCCAGGAGCTTCTTGACCTTGGCGAGGTTTGTAGGGGACGTCCCGTAAACATCAACGGCCATAACCGGGAACGATACAGCGGCCGTTTCTTTGGCTAGACAAATAGCTGGTCGCTGTGTCAGCACAGGGATCACCGGTTGCTGGAGGGGTTTGACCTGATGCGCTGTTCAGGAAACACAAGTTAAAGTAGCCGGGTTAGTTCCAGCTCATTCTTCACACTGTAAGTTCATGCACTGAAACATACCAGAAGCATTTCGAGAAATCTTCTTGCACTTCTTGACAGCTTCCTGAAAGTCTGGCAGCAGTTTCGCTTGGAAGATCACAAGGTGGACGCGCTTCAGGTGTTTCGGTGAGTCCTTCATAAAGTTAGTCAGAGCTTCTGTCATTGCATTGGCAACCCCTGCAGCAGCCAAGTTTCCTGCTCCTGAAGGACATTAAGCATTTTAGGATCATCCAGATACCTTTGCTTGGCTTTGCTTATCTGTATTTCTGACCAGACGAACTTACCTGTTCCAAGAGCTGGGAATGAAACCGACTGAATCTTATTTTCTTCGCACATCCCCAGAACTTTGTACATGGAGCTGCTGATGCCTTTCTCATTGGTCTGCCCAACCATATGGATGATGTGTTTGATATTTGAAAGATTTCCAGCTTTGGTCAGGCGCTTTAATCAGGAGAGAATGAATGAGCAATTATTCTGTTGTAGCAGGAGAGTCCAGTTCTGCTCCTGGAGGCTCACTGCCCTGCAGAATTTATCCCCAGCCTCAACTAAACACACCTGAACCAAGGTAATCAAAGGTTGTCAGGATTACTAGAATCTTCTGGACAGGTATTTTGGGACAAGTTGGAGCTAAACTCTGCAGGATATTGGCCCTCCAGGACCAGGATTGAACACCGTCGTGTTAGAAGTTCATCAGAAATGCCTATATTTATGATTATTGACTGAAGCTGAAGGTTGTACCTTTTGATTTCCACTCGTTCACCACCGTTTGTCCTGATGCTTTGAGAATGGCTCCTGATACACCTGCACATAAGGACATACACTAGATCTGAGCACCACTTCCAATTAGTTATTCAGCTGCCACTCTTCCTGTGTCATGTTAGGGTTAGGAAAATGTCTGGAAAATAACAGTTCATCAGATTCAGAGCGATATCAAAAGCAAACTCACCCGTGTTGAAATCGAGGCTTGTCGTCGTGCTGTTTACAATGGCCTCGACAGTCTCTTTGGTGATGTCTCCGCTAAACACCCTGACTTTAACCGGGCCCATCATTACCTCCACTGGGTTTGCTGGTGAAATGTAAACATTTTAGCAAATTTCAAAGACCTATAACAGCATATTTTCAAAAGGTCATCAAATGCTGCATTACCGTTGGCTCCTTTGTCAGACGAGGAGCTTTCTTCTGTTGAGCTGTAATCCTCCCACTCATCATCTTCACTGTCCTAGTTGTGCGTTGATGTTAATTAAATGTTGAAGTGCAAAAGCATTTACACCCGTCACCACTCGCGCTCGGTAGATGTACTTCAGCCCTTTGTCGTCTGGGTTGGAATACTTGTCCTGGCAGGAGTACCAGGCCTCTTTACCGAAGTAGGTGCCTTCGCCGTGATAGACCGCTTCAGAACAGAGCACATGTCACAGGTCAGTATCGTGAAGCTGCAAGAAACAGGCAGTTACGGGGCACATGTGACGTACCGTTTCTCCCACAGAAGCTGCGGTTGAAGCCGTTCTTGTTGATTTTCTGGCATATCTCTTTGGTCGTTCCGTGATAAAGCTGGCGCTCGTTTGTCTGTTTGGGGTATTTCTTATCCACGGCCTGTTTCAGCACACAGTATCTCTGCCACTGCGACTGACTCTGAATCCTGTCGATCTGAGAAATCACTTCAGACGTTAATAAACACAGGCCTCAACTCAAAATGAAATCAAAATCAACTCTTAATTTCTTAACACAACAGCAATTTATCAGTGCATGTTATTCCAATTTGTAAAACTCTTTCTTGGCCTCTGAAACGACGTTCTTCTTTAGCTGGCATCATGGAGAAAATCAAGCTAGAATATTCTGCTTTTTATGCATTTGGCAGATGCTTTTATCCAAAGCGACTCACATTGCATTCACAATGTACATTGTTTTTGATCAATTTGTGCATTCTCTGATAACTGAACTGTACTCTACTGTTTGAGCTACAAGAATGCTTCATTTCCATATTCTGAAATAAGTCGGATTAGGGATGTGGAATGAGTTGACTTTAAGTACTGATGCTTGTGTTGTGATGTCTGATGTCCGGTGAGATGCGAGTTAAGAGACACTTTACCTGTTGAACCTGGACGGGCTTCACATCACGGTGTATGCTGGATTTCAGAAAGGCTGTTTCTATGTTCTTGTACTCTACTGAATTTGATTGTAATGTGATTATTTCTAAATCCCGTCCATCCATTTTGGTCCATGTTGGAGGGGGATGAATGATTGCTGAGAAACAAACAAGGAAAGTTACAGAAAGAACAGTTTCTGCTATCATATATCTTCAGACGACACCCACAGATGCCTCCTCAACTGAGGAACAATATAGTGTTTAACAGCAACTACAAGCCCTCTTTTGAGGCAGAACTAGTAACTGGATTTTTCAAAGTTTACAAGGTCAGTTTAGCCGAAGTTTGAACTGTACATTGTGCTTTTTTGTTTTATCTTAGCTATCTTTGGGAAATATGTTGTTCTGCTGCTTTTGGAAGGACATAAATCCTGATCGCATAACTTTACACTGATGCTTCTGCTTCTCGTGAACACTTTTGGATCAGTTGTTCCAACTCGTACCCGTATCAGAATCCCCCAGCAGAGTCCTCTTGATCCTGCAGGACTCCCGCTTGCTGTTTGTGACCTCCATCTGTTTGAAGTCCACAGTGTAGGTGTCTCCGTTCTCCTGGTACTGGAAGCTCTTCTCTTTGCGGTGGAAGGTGAGCTCGATGTCGTAGCTGATGTTGGGCTCCAGTGACTCCCAGCGTTCTCCTCTCGCCACCTCCCAGCACAGCGTCTCCCGCAGACGTTTCACCTCACCTTCACGCTTCTCTCGGTCTCGCGCTGCCTGGATGAAGCCGTTTATCTTCAGCACAGCATCTAAGACGTCGTCTCTCTTCCCTGATACTGTTAACTTATCTGAACTGGCCACCAGAACGCTGACTTGATTGGCTCGGCTGAGGGCCACGATGGCCTTCTTGTCCGTTTCAGGAAGGTCTGTGTTGTGGCTCAACTGGACGTCTATACTGAAGCACTCCTGCTTGACCAGCTCGTCCAGGAGCTTCTTGACCTTGGCGAGGTTTGTAGGGGACGTCCCGTAAACATCAACGGCCATAACCGGGAACGATACAGCGGCCGTTTCTTTGGCTAGACAAATAGCTGGTCGCTGTGTCAGCACAGGGATCACCGGTTGCTGGAGGGGTTTGACCTGATGCGCTGTTCAGGAAACACAAGTTAAAGTAGCCGGGTTAGTTCCAGCTCATTCTTCACACTGTAAGTTCATGCACTGAAACATACCAGAAGCATTTCGAGAAATCTTCTTGCACTTCTTGACAGCTTCCTGAAAGTCTGGCAGCAGTTTCGCTTGGAAGATCACAAGGTGGACGCGCTTCAGGTGTTTCGGTGAGTCCTTCATAAAGTTAGTCAGAGCTTCTGTCATTGCATTGGCAACCCCTGCAGCAGCCAAGTTTCCTGCTCCTGAAGGACATTAAGCATTTTAGGATCATCCAGATACCTTTGCTTGGCTTTGCTTATCTGTATTTCTGACCAGACGAACTTACCTGTTCCAAGAGCTGGGAATGAAACCGACTGAATCTTATTTTCTTCGCACATCCCCAGAACTTTGTACATGGAGCTGCTGATGCCTTTCTCATTGGTCTGCCCAACCATATGGATGATGTGTTTGATATTTGAAAGATTTCCAGCTGTGGTCAGGATCACGCCGTCGGCGGGCTGAGGCGCTTTAATCAGGAGAGAATGGATGAGCAATTATTCTGTTAGAACAGGAGTGTCCAATCCTGCTCTGGAGGCTCACTGTCCTGCAGAATCTTTCTCAAACCCCAATTAAATACATCTGAACCAAGGTCATCAAAGGTCTTCAGGATTACTAGAATCTTCCATACGGGTATTTCGGGTCAAGTTGGAGCTAAACTCTGCAGGACATTGGCCCTCCAGGACCAGGATATTTATGACTATTGACTGAAGCTGAAGGTTGTACCTTTTGATTTGCACTCGTTCACCACCATTTGTCCTGATGCTTTGAGAATGGCTCCTGATACACCTGCACATAAGGACATACACTAGATCTGAGCACCGCCTCCAATTACCCTGTTTCATGAGCTGTATGTCTGGAAAATGACCGTTCATCAGGTTCGGAGCGATATCAAAAACAAACTCGCCTGTGTTCAAATCGAGGCTTGTCGTCGTGCTGTTAACAATAGCCTCGACAGTCTCTTTGGTGATGTCTCCGCAAAGCACCTTGACTTTAATCAGGCCCATCATCACCTCCACTGGGTTTGCTGGCAAAATGTAAACATTTTAAGCATGTTTGGAACACCGATAACGGCACATTTTCAAAAGGTCATCAAACGCTGCATTACCGCTGGCGTCAGCTCCTTGGTCAGATGAGGAGCTTTCATCCGTTGAGCTGTAATCCTCCAACTCATCATCTCCATCATCATCATCATATTCATCATATTCATCATCTTCACTCTCCTAATTGTGTTGATGTTAATTCAATGTTAAAATGCAAAAGCATTTACATTCGATATATAATAAATCACAAGGACCCTTGAAAAGTATCCTTCATAATAGACCCATTCAGAAGTGGGTTATGGTTAAGCATGTGGCAACTCTACCTGTGACTTCGCAATCCATGTTTTGAGACCTTTCTGAAACTCTTGTAGGACGTTGTCCCGGTCAATCACAATGTAGATGAGCTTGATCACCGTTGAGACGTTTTGAGACAGATGATCTTCAAAGCCTTGCAGCATCGCACCGATGGCGTCCTCATCCTGAACGCCTCCGCCACCTTTAACAAGAGCCATAACACGGAGTGAGACATGAATCACACACGATGACCAGCACATGCCACGTGTAAGACCACCATCCGTACCGGTGCCCACGGCAGGGAAGGAGACCGTGGTGATCTGCTTCTCCTCACAGCACTCCAGAACGTTCTTCACGCGGGATCTCACCTCTGCCGCCGAGTGCGGGCCGACCATGTGAATGATGAAGTCACAATGCAGGTTTCCACCGCTGGTCACGGCTGCGACATCATTCTGCAGTGCACCTTCAGAGCGGAATTTGTTTAAAGAAAGTAATTTATGTCTACGGCCCAATCACAGCTGTGCTGATAACCAGAATGCTCTTGCTCGTGCAGTTAATTATTAACAAAGTTTCATTATTTGGCATGTGACGTTCTCACCGTGCTTTTGGCACTCCTGCTCCACAGATGCTCCAGCTGCTTTAAATATGGCACCAGACACTCCTGAAGGACAAAGACGCTTTTGAGCTCGTCAAGGTGGGACACCTTGCCCCCCAACATGTCTCTTTGCATGTTTCGGAGTCTCTACTAATAAGCTGATGACTTTAATCAGTGTGTTTGATTAAGGAGACATGCAAAATGTGCAGTGTTGGGGCTCCAGGAACATAGTTAAGAACCACTGTTTTAGAGTAATTAATGTGTTGATATAAAAGTGTCTTTTTTGTGTATTTTGAGATCTATATGATCATACAGACCTCCTCTCAAGCTCATGTCCCTGTTGGTGGTGTTGACGATCCCCCGGACGGTTTCATTAGTGATGTCTCCTTTCTTTACCTCAATTCTGACGCTTACAATTTTGACTACAGAAAGATTTCAAATGTAAATACTAAATATTCACTCCTGGAAATATCACAACTATTACATTGAAAGAGGTTTATGATGTATTTAAAAAACAAGAGCATATTTATTTGTGGAAATGCAGAGTTGTCAAGACCTTGATTTTCTGGCATCTTGCCGGACGCAGGCTGGAGAAAAACAAATGTAACACAATTAAAGCAATAAAAAGAGAAATCTGGACAATATTATTTTGTTATCCCATCAGTATTAACCTTATTCCACACTTTAAAATGGTCACGAAAGTCATCAAAGGTCTTTTGTTCAAATGCCACTACAGTGATGCTTCGGACATCATCATCATCATATTCATCATATTCATCATCTTCACTCTCCTAATTGTGTTGATGTTAATTCAATGTTAAAATGCAAAAGCATTTACATTCGATATATAATAAATCACAAGGACCCTTGAAAAGTATCCTTCATAATAGACCCATTCAGAAGTGGGTTATGGTTAAGCATGTGGCAACTCTACCTGTGACTTCGCAATCCATGTTTTGAGACCTTTCTGAAACTCTTGTAGGACGTTGTCCCGGTCAATCACAATGTAGATGAGCTTGATCACCGTTGAGACGTTTTGAGACAGATGATCTTCAAAGCCTTGCAGCATCGCACCGATGGCGTCCTCATCCTGAACGCCTCCGCCACCTTTAACAAGAGCCATAACACGGAGTGAGACATGAATCACACACGATGACCAGCACATGCCACGTGTAAGACCACCATCCGTACCGGTGCCCACGGCAGGGAAGGAGACCGTGGTGATCTGCTTCTCCTCACAGCACTCCAGAACGTTCTTCACGCGGGATCTCACCTCTGCCGCCGAGTGCGGGCCGACCATGTGAATGATGAAGTCACAATGCAGGTTTCCACCGCTGGTCACGGCTGCGACATCATTCTGCAGTGCACCTTCAGAGCGGAATTTGTTTAAAGAAAGTAATTTATGTCTACGGCCCAATCACAGCTGTGCTGATAACCAGAATGCTCTTGCTCGTGCAGTTAATTATTAACAAAGTTTCATTATTTGGCATGTGACGTTCTCACCGTGCTTTTGGCACTCCTGCTCCACAGATGCTCCAGCTGCTTTAAATATGGCACCAGACACTCCTGAAGGACAAAGACGCTTTTGAGCTCGTCAAGGTGGGACACCTTGCCCCCCAACATGTCTCTTTGCATGTTTCGGAGTCTCTACTAATAAGCTGATGACTTTAATCAGTGTGTTTGATTAAGGAGACATGCAAAATGTGCAGTGTTGGGGCTCCAGGAACATAGTTAAGAACCACTGTTTTAGAGTAATTAATGTGTTGATATAAAAGTGTCTTTTTTGTGTATTTTGAGATCTATATGATCATACAGACCTCCTCTCAAGCTCATGTCCCTGTTGGTGGTGTTGACGATCCCCCGGACGGTTTCATTAGTGATGTCTCCTTTCTTTACCTCAATTCTGACGCTTACAATTTTGACTACAGAAAGATTTCAAATGTAAATACTAAATATTCACTCCTGGAAATATCACAACTATTACATTGAAAGAGGTTTATGATGTATTTAAAAAACAAGAGCATATTTATTTGTGGAAATGCAGAGTTGTCAAGACCTTGATTTTCTGGCATCTTGCCGGACGCAGGCTGGAGAAAAACAAATGTAACACAATTAAAGCAATAAAAAGAGAAATCTGGACAATATTATTTTGTTATCCCATCAGTATTAACCTTATTCCACACTTTAAAATGGTCACGAAAGTCATCAAAGGTCTTTTGTTCAAATGCCACTACAGTGATGCTTCGGAAGCAGGATGAGTTCGGCTCCTTCAGATGTTTCTCGAGGGCTGTGAAGATGGCTTTGATCGATTCCTTCGGGGCAAAGCCACCTCGTCCTGCAGAGAACAAGATTAATGATCAGGGCTTGATATTTCCTCACAGCGCTTTGAGAGAGTATTTTTAAATGACAGAGAAACTGCATGCTGTCATGCCTGTTCCAATCGCAGGAATGGCCAGAGTTGTGGCTGTTTTGGCTTCGCAGAGGTTCAGAACCATTTCCAGAGATGATGTGATGTCGGCGGTGCTGTCTGGCCCAACCATCTGTGCGATAAACTTACACTGAAGCGCTCCAGCACCCGTCAGCACTGCTGCACCTGTTTTCTGAGGAGCTACAGAAGCAGATGTGAATGAAATCACTCAGCACTCCCTTTAGAATATAGCCACTGACAGAAAGAGTCGGAGATACCTTGCTTTTTGCATTCGTCAACAACAGATTGTCCAGCAGCTTTTAAGATGGCACCAGAGACGCCTGTAAGGAAGTTACAGTAAATATAATAACACAAATCTCTGAGGTATCTTCAGGCTTTAGCATGACACATAAAGGTATTGACGCTGCAGCAAAGAAACTCTTACCGGTGTTCAGATCTAAACTTTTGTTGGTTGAATTCACAATGACATCCACCGTCTCTTTGGTGATGTCGCCGTTTTTCAGGCATATTGGCACACCATTGATCAGCACTGATTTAATGACCAGTCATGTGAAAAGAAAAGTACATAAGCAACTTCTAACCCTTCAGATGAAGTTTAGGAAACATGGTGACCACTTGCAGTGAAATTACTATAGCAGGTAAATCTGCACAGTACCTCTCGTGTCTGATCCGTGTTTTAGCTTCAAGGATTGTAGGGGAACCGTTGTAGATGTGTCAGGAAATCCCTGTTAGAAAATAAACGGGTGATGGTTAATAAAACATGCTAAACACTGTTAATAAACGTTTGCATATAAGAGGGATCATACTAGTTCCTGGATCAGAGTGTTGTACTCCTCAACGATCTCCTCGTCTGAATCCACTATACTGATGCATCTGATGTTTTTAGGAGAATTCTGACGGTCGCTGCAGAACTGCAGTACAGCGGCTCGGAGTGCCACGCAGCTGTCTTTGACAGAGAAGCCGAAGCTTTCACAACCGACTGCTGGGAGTGCCATCGAGGCGCATCCTTTTCCTTCAGCTTTCAGGAGACTGTTATACACGGCTGACTGAAGGTAGTGAGAGTCCAGCCTCTGTCCTTTCTGAGGCAACACGGCGTAAATGAGCGTCCCGGCGTTGAGTTTCCCAGCATCACTGAGCACCACGTCTCCAGGCAGAAGACTCTGCTGTTGCTTCTGCTGAGTTTTACACACCTCTGAAATCTCGTCTCCTCCGAACTGGAGAAAGCACTGAGCCACAGGGTTACCGAAAGCTAGATTGGCATTCATTGGACAGGTCAAAGCGTCGGCTGTGAAATGGTGCAGGTCTCCTTCTGCGATACTCAGAGTCATGAAGTTGCCTATTTTGTGTGTGAAGCTCTTTGGAGGGCTGGATTTGACCACATGCTCTTGTGATAAATACAGACTGCACTGCATCTCCTTAGCTTTGGTCTTCATGTTGGCTTCATTTTTCTCCAGAAACTTTGCTTCTCCTGCTTTGCTATATTTATGGCTCTCCATAAGAATGGATGAGCTCTGCTGCTGTACGACACGCACCGCGTCTTTGATATTGTCTTTAGCTGCTGTGACCTTCAGACAAGGGCAGTTTGATGTTCTGTAAGCGAGTACCGTCGCGCCGAGGCTCTTGAGTTCTGGGAGCTCGGACAGATTCAGGCAGGACTCCACATATTCAGCCTCTCGCACAGATTTCAGAGGGACGTTCTCAGTTGTCGGTTCCTTGTTGTCCAGATATCTCTTCACTTTTCCGGTAACATCTGCAACTGCACTGGAAACGTGGATATTTTATCAGTCAGGGTTGGTTTTTCTCCAGTTAAAGCCTTTTGTAAACTTGAGTAGAACAGTGAAGCGTGAACTTCTGTGCCGCAAACATTGTGTGTTTGTTCCACCACTGCATGCGCATCTATTACAATAGAAAGGACAGGTACATTTTTCAAATTAGGTTTGTTCTTTATATTTTAGCCTTGAAAATCCTTTTCCTAATTTGGTGTTTCCAGTCAAAAATGACTGGCCTTTTAAATTGCTTGTAAATCTCTCATTATGTTATATAATCACCAAATGTTGGATTTAGGGTACGTTTACACGACAGCAATGTATTGAAATGCACATTGCTGTACAGACGACAAAGTTGTCAAAATGATCCCCGTTCACACGGATCCGTGAAAATGGCTAAAAACACTTTGTAAAGAAACACTACTCATACAAGCTGACTGAATTCAAGATTTGGTGATAATAATGTGAGATTTATTTTGGGGGAAAAAAATCCTCTAGAAGCCAGAAGACAACAGGAAATTACCACTGCATAGTATTATTATTATTATTTCTCCATAACATTTATACAATATTCACATGACCGATTTTTAGATCTGTTTGTGTTTCATCTCTGCAAATAATCCTACCGTCACAGTTTCCGAAGGTGATGGCCGCACTCTTTCGTCTGTTGATCCAGATGAAGGACTGGACGTCTCCTCCTCCGCTCCTCTTCTTGTTGCTGAAGTAAAGTGTGAGAACATCTTCAGTGAGCTTCTCCAAGTCTCCCTGGACCAGAACCGAGTCCGTCCGCTCCACACGGGTCACTCCGATGTCTCGACCCTGCAGCTGCCTCGAGGTGCATTTCCGTAGAAATGACGTCACATCTGATGATAAAATATGAAGGAAGAAAATGATCTATGCACTGAGTGTGTGCACTTTCCTCAGTGTTTATTTGAATGTTGACCACAGCAGTCTGATCAGATTCTTGTAGCATTCATTTTCACGCAATACAGAGGATTTGATTAGTCCATGTAGATAGATAAAGAAACGAAAATATAAATGTGCACAGAAGTAGCAGACCCAAAAGACGAAGAAATATAAGCAGCGTGAAAGCAGGCGTCTCAGAAACGGAGGTCGTTATCGGGAACACAGAAACCCAGCGGCCACCCAGAGCTTCAAAACCCACCGATATCGTGTTTGAAGGTGACAACGATCCTGTCCGCATCAAGCGTCTCCCAGGTGTGCTCTGTGGTCTTGCTACAGCTGCCGATGAACACTGAGATCATCCTGCAGTCTGTGGCTCCATCAAAGCCAGTCAAGATGAAGCGGCGCGGGTCCAGCTGCTCTCCCAGACCTCCTCCTTTATACACTGCTAACGTTATACCAAACCCGTGCTCTTTCTGGCCCAAAATCTCCTCTAAATCTGATAAAGGGTCAACATTGTTAATTCTGATATTTCTGATCTCACCGATGGATTATGTTAGATGATTTTATCATGGTTTGCTTTTATTTTTCTCACTTGAGAGCTAGTTATCTAATGAATGGCCTGAGTCATATGCACAGAAATAGACTTGCCAAACCAGTTTGTTTCACGTCACATCGTGACGTAACTAGAAAACAGTCTCAGGAATCATACCTGACTGGCTCCAGAGCTTCAGGATCCAGCTGTTATTCCCGTGCTTAGCTAGCTCAAACTGCTCTGTGAACTGCTCAAAATACATCTGAAGGGTTTCCTTCTCAACTGAACCAGAGGTGTTAATGAGAAGATCTGGTATTTCTGAATCCTCCTCATCTTCTGTGTAATGAACAAATATGTACACATGTCCAAAGTGTCGTTGTAAAAGTTTTGAAATCAGTGATTGTTGTTTTAAACACTAGGAGTGAAAAGCATTACAGCCCAACCTTTATGAGCTGTAATTGCTGTTGCAGGCTTTCTGACGGGAGACACCTTTGTGTGACGAGGAGGAAGTGTGTGAGTAAAACAGAAAATAACAAATATCACTCAAGATCAGGTGCTGGTTGCATAAACTGCGCAGATTAGTCTTAAAAGATCATCGAATTGTTTGAGAGTTCAAAAGATTGCTCATTGTAAAGTCAGTTACATAAAAAGTATCTCCTGAATCTGAAAAGTAAGATTGATTAACACTTGGTTAACTAGTTCTTAAGACACAGTCTTAACATAGTTTCTATGTTTATGCAACTGGCAAATATGTCCAATTGCTTCCACGTTCTTTCAAAAGAGACGAGAATCAGGAAACGTGTAGTCTAATATCAATGCTAGTGGTTAATGATCTGAAATGACCTGTCTGGCTGGAGCGGGCAGTGATCTGAGGGGCAGGCATCTCTCGGGGGTGGGTTTTGGAAGCACTGGTGGTTTGGTCTTCTTGATCGCAGGGTCTTCTGGGAGTTTCACGGTCACTTCCACTGATCCATGAGGTTTCAGATCAACTTTATGCACACTTTTGTCAAGCACCTTCTTCAGATCTGGAAAGCAGGGCCATGTCAGTCTTTAATCAGGTCATTCATTAACAGGTGTGGTGTCAGTATTGGTTTAGGACTCACCATCGTCGCTCATGTAAACCAGAAGCGCTTTTCGCTTGTCCTCGTGATGTTCTCGAATCTGCACGATCTCTCCTCCAGATCTTCTTTTATTCTTAAAATAAAGCTGGAGCTTTGATCTGACACGGGCGAAATCAGCCGGAAGACCCTCGAGGACCAGACTCTTCTCTTCCATGTTTGCGCTTCAGACACAAACCGACAGCCGACACACTTTCTGCCGGTAAACTGTGAGATAAGTGGCTGTCATCTGATCAATGTCATCTGATGTTAATATCTCGCGGTGATGGAGGAACCGAGCCGAATCCGCCGAAATCTGGCTCCGGTGCTTTCACTTTTGCTTCAGGGCTGGTTCATGTGACTTCTGATCAATAGTCCAGATCGGGGCGGGATCAGGAAGCTGAGAGGTACATTATAAGTGGAGAAATATCTGTGCGATCAGTCAGTCATTGGAGAAGTGTTTGGAGGCTAGATTCGGAGTTTTACATTTACTTCACATACTTTCGATTTAGAGTGAATCATGTCTGTCGACGGCGAGGTACGTGTTCATAACCTCACATTCACACACTTTTGCATTTCCTCCTGCATTCTGTTTAACACTGTATCATGTAACATTGTATCATGTATCATTGTATCATTGTATCAACGAGCAGCTCGTAAACCCGGACGAGGAGCGCAGAATGAGCGAAGCTGCTGCGGAGCTGAAGAAATGCAAGGTTAGACCTCACTAACTCTACACACAGCTCAATCAGTCACCTATAACCATATTTAATCATTAGTGATGTTCACTCAGGATCTCGTGGAGTCTGCAGACAATGAGAAGTCCAGACTGCTGCTGGAAAAAGCTGAAGCAGAGACTGAGAAGAAAAGAGCCGAGGCAGAACTTCAGAGCTTCATGGAGTCTGAAGACAACATTTCTGGGCGGTTTAATCGAGATCTTCTAGAAGTACAGGTGGGTTTGGAGGCGTGATCAGACTAAGCACTGAAAGAGAAAGCAGATGCTGAGGATTGTGTTTGTTTCAGGAGGAGAAGAGGAGTCTGGATCGAGTGAACCAGGATCTGAAGAGAGATCTTTATGATCTTCAGAAGAAGCTCCTGCTCAAGAGGGACGAAAGTGACTCTCTGCGACGCAAATTCAAGGTTGACCTGCGTCTTACTGTTACAATGTGTACAATTTATGAACTGATTACAGTTTAAAGTTACTAATGTTGATCAAAGTTTAGTCCAAATAACACTGACCATATAAGGATCATGGAGGGTGTGTCAGATCTTCTTCCTGTTGAACTGCACAGTCTTTACAGAGTCTTATGCGGTGTCCAGAATGGCATTCTATTTGTCCTAAACATTAGAATGAGTGCATCCCAAATCGTAGTGTCCCAAAGGTACCTGGATGGCTTACTGTCTATTGCTCACAACCCATGGCGCACTGGACAAGGATTTGATTAGAACTACAAAAAAAGTGTTTAAAAACTACAAACATGGAGGATACGAGAGACTGATAGTTAAGCACTTTGAGTGATTAATAATCAATGTCTAGCTGGATGACGAAGAAAATCCACGTCATACTTCATCTGCAACAACATTGTGAACTTTTATAAAGATATATTTGGTGATTAACTTTTAAAAGCATCATTGTGCAAACACACGAGAAGAGTTCTGCGTGTAACGAAGTGACAGCCATCCGTTAAAGATGCAATTATGACAAAATAAAGCAATAAGCCCCATGAAGCCGTGGTTTACAGTGAATATATAACAGCTAAGGGGCGTTGTTTGGCTGTTAGGTTGTTAGGCTCCGCTTCGCGTCATGCCTAAAACCTCCCTTCATCCCTTTTCATGCTCCGTGTTGTTAATGTGTGTTTGCTGAACGTTTCTGTTGATCATGGCTCTCCTGCTTCCACTTTCAGTTGCAGAGAATCTGGTTCACAGAGGAAAGTTTTGTGCCGACGCCGGCAGCGACATGGTGCTCGATGTTCTTCCTCTGTATGAGTATCAGCTCAGGAAGTTTCAGGTGCGTTTCTGTACCAGGCATCTGTTTTGGGCGCAGAAGCGCGTTTGTTTGATGGTGTTTGTTGTGATGTTGTAGACGTACTCGGGGGCCCCGAGTCGCACCGTGCTGCTGGGAGGAATCCAGGCGCTGATGGATGAAGAAGATCTTCAGGACCATCTGGAGATCCACTTCCAGAAGCCCAGCAACTACGGAGGAGAGGTGGAGAACATCAGATATGTCCCTGATGGAGCGCAGCTGACGGCTTTCTTCAGCGAGGACGGCAAAGAAAAAGAAGATTGAGTTCAGAATGCAACAAAAGCCAGGGTTTACTTCAGATCAGTGATGCATTAGTCATATTTACATGCTGTTGTGTATGTGGGATTTTTCAGTTTTTCTTCTAGATTATAATAACCATATCTCCTCACTATCTTCTGTAACAATATGACAAAACTGAGCATCATAAAATAAAAGTATAATTGAAAAGGATAAAGTTGATTTGCTGCTCAGATCATCAGCCTGATGAAGATGTGTTGATGTACAAATGCTATACTAAAATAAAGTTTATTCTGTTATCTGCAATGGGTTGCATCTTTAACCGCTAGATGTATGAATATTAATTTAACATCACTAAGGCTAAACGTAAAGTCAATCGGTGGTGAATTATGAGTGTAGTATATGAACTTAATGTCTACAGATAAAATACACATCAGATCTGAAGACGAGCAAAACAAAAGAGCAGGGTTAGTTTCAGCATTTCATGTCATGTGGAGTTTATGTTGAGGGTAAGAAATCGGCATGCAGAGGTGTATGCTGATCCCATCGCTCTTCATCACAGATCCACGTCTGTGAAAAACTGTTTTCCAGAGATATGTGTTCAAGATCAAATCATATATATTTTGAAAAATATTAAATATATTTTTTAATTTTTTAAATCTTACTATTGTTCTGTATAAATAAGAAATAACTCACTGTAAAACAAATGTACTGGTCGTGCATGAACACTCAGGGAGCTAAAGCCTACACAGTGTTCTTATCCCAGTGATAAAGAGAAATACATCATGCCTGAGTCTGTAAACGACTCTGGACAGGTGTGCTTGTGTCTAACCTTCTCTAATTCTCTGTCAGAAGGTCAGTTTTCCTCCCTAACTAGAAGGAGTCTTCCACACTGCCACGCTGGCCTGCGTCAATAAGACACAAAGCAGTGGTTCATGATAAATTGAAATGATAATTAAAAATGAATACTGAATTATAATAAACACACACACAGAACTCAATGTGAAATGAGCCACTAAGTTTCTTGCAAGTTCATGATGTAAATTTAAGACTCTTCATTGACAATTGTTTTTCAGATTTATTTCATTACTGTATGTGTCTGTAGAGTCAGCCAAAGCTTGTTCCTTCACAAAGGGTGGGTTTAGGTATATGTAAGGTGGGAAGATTTGGATCTGGATCTTGTGTTCTGCAGTGAGGACCATCTCCATTTATATAGTGCTTTATACAATACAGAGTGTCAGAGCAGCTTTACAGAGTCAAACAGGAAAAACGTGTGCTGATAATGCAAGAGCACAATAGAAAACAGTCAGTTTATCAGCTAAAGTCAGTGGATTGATGATTCAGTGATGTCTTCATCCAGATCAGCTCTCTTCAATAGTGTCTGTGCAGTCAGTCAAGCGTCCCCAACTAAACAAGCCAAAGAAACCAAAACTCCATCAACAGCGTTCGTTCATGTCTGAACACTCAGTGATATTAGCAGAAGTCCTGACTGTTGGTCGAACGTCTCGTCTCATGCTGGAGAAATGTCCCTTGCCGTGATCAGTGAATTTACTGCATTATTCATCATGTTAGGTAGGTTTTTCAGATCAAGGCTAATCAATCTCAGTTCACTTTTAAGGGCTGATCCCCTCTGGTTCTCATAAAGAGGACGAGGCTCTCGTGATGAGGGACAGTACAGTTATAAACGTCTTCATGAGAACCGCTGTCTGTGTGTTTAATAAGCAATCACAGAACTACAGCACGGCATCATCTGATGACTTAAATGTTCCGCTTTAACTCTGCAACTGTAATATCATGTGAGTGTATCTGTAATTCATTTCATTCATGGAAAAAACATCAATAAAAGCAGCAAAGCTCATATTGATTGACAGTGGCTTCATTTAGAGGTGTAGAAACACTTAGTAAAATCTCCATATGATGAATGTTCCACCATAATAATGTGCTAAAATACCATTACAGATGCCTGGATGACAGTTGTCTATTTAGGTACAAGTCATGGTTTGGGGATCCTAAACTCGTCCAGATAGGATGAAGTAAATAGAATGAATCTCATCGTATTATTGCTTCGAGCTTCTTATTACAGGCCATGAATCTCTGTAGACTGAGCTCAGGACAGCAGCTTTCATGATTAAACATCACAGCGAAGGAGATCAGATTCACTTCTTATGGCATGTGGTGTCCAGCGGAGACGGTTCCTGCTGTATTTCAGGTTACAGTAGCTCATATAAGACTCTTCAGTTCATCAGCAGAGGGCGGCCTCACCTCACTCACCGGTTTAGCTGGTTAACATGGGTCAGTTAGGCTCTGACAGTCAAGTAGCTGTATATTCTGACAAAAAAACAAAACTTTTGCAAAAACATTGACATCACTAATATTTTAGTGTGTTTTTTGACGTCAGTCACAGCTCAGGATAGTCACTAGTGAAGGTTATTGATGATGGGAATAAAACATCTAGTCTGAGCACAAAACTGGTTTTATGTGGCCTCTATTGTAATTCTGAGCTTGTTCTGGATTCATTAGGGTTACAGTTTCTTGTCCCTCGCTCTTATTTCAGACCTTTATGAGCTTCATGTTCTGCATTGTGATTAAAGTTTGCAAACTCTCATTCTGGCTCTGAATGTGATTCTCCTTTATGAATATGTTGTCATAATTTGATTTATGTTTTGCTCAGTTCTTTTCTTCACAGGGTTTCTGTAAATAGTGCTTTATTAAAATACAGTGAATGTCAAACAGTCATCAGTGATGTTGACACAAACAGATTTAGCACAGATTCCCTGCTGCACAACCCTCGAGTTAATATGTAGTGTTAATATGTGGTCTACAGTGTTCTGCTGTGGTCTACGGTGTTCTGCTGTGGTCTACGGTGTTCTACTGTGGTCTACGGCGGTCTGCTGTGGTCTGCTGTGGTCTGCGGTGTTCTGCTGTGGTCTACGGTGTTCTGCTGTGGTCTACGGTGTTCTACTGTGGTCTACGGCGGTCTGCTGTGGTCTGCTGTGGTCTGCGGTGTTCTGCTGTGGTCTACGGTGTTCTGCTGTGGTCTACGGTGTTCTACTGTGGTCTACGGCGGTCTGCTGTGGTCTGCTGTGGTCTGCGGTGTTCTGCTGTGGTCTACGGTGTTCTGCTGTGGTCTACGGTGTTCTACTGTGGTCTACGGCGGTCTGCTGTGGTCTGCTGTGGTCTGCGGTGTTCTGCTGTGGTCTACGGTGTTCTGCTGTGGTCTACGGTGTTCTACTGTGGTCTACGGCGGTCTGCTGTGGTCTGCTGTGGTCTGCGGTGTTCTGCTGTGGTCTACGGTGTTCTGCTGTGGTCTACGGTGTTCTACTGTGGTCTACGGCGGTCTGCTGTGGTCTGCTGTGGTCTGCGGTGTTCTGCTGTGGTCTACGGTGTTCTGCTGTGGTCTACGGTGTTCTACTGTGGTCTACGGCGGTCTGCTGTGGTCTGCTGTGGTCTGCGGTGTTCTGCTGTGGTCTACGGTGTTCTGCTGTGGTCTACGGTGTTCTACTGTGGTCTACGGCGGTCTGCTGTGGTCTGCTGTGGTCTGCGGTGTTCTGCTGTGGTCTACGGTGTTCTGCTGTGGTCTACGGTGTTCTACTGTGGTCTACGGCGGTCTGCTGTGGTCTGCTGTGGTCTGCGGTGTTCTGCTGTGGTCTACGGTGTTCTGCTGTGGTCTACGGTGTTCTACTGTGGTCTACGGCGGTCTGCTGTGGTCTGCTGTGGTCTGCGGTGTTCTGCTGTGGTCTACGGTGTTCTGCTGTGGTCTACGGTGTTCTACTGTGGTCTACGGCGGTCTGCTGTGGTCTGCTGTGGTCTGCGGTGTTCTGCTGTGGTCTACGGTGTTCTGCTGTGGTCTACGGTGTTCTACTGTGGTCTACGGCGGTCTGCTGTGGTCTGCTGTGGTCTGCGGTGTTCTGCTGTGGTCTACGGTGTTCTGCTGTGGTCTACGGTGTTCTACTGTGGTCTACGGCGGTCTGCTGTGGTCTGCTGTGGTCTGCGGTGTTCTGCTGTGGTCTACGGTGTTCTGCTGTGGTCTACGGTGTTCTACTGTGGTCTACGGCGGTCTGCTGTGGTCTGCTGTGGTCTGCGGTGTTCTGCTGTGGTCTACGGTGTTCTGCTGTGGTCTACGGTGTTCTACTGTGGTCTACGGTGTTCTGCTGTGGTCTACAGTGTTCTGCTGTGTTCTGCTGTGGTCTACGGTGTTCTGCTGTGGTCTGCTGTTGTCTACGATGTTCTGCTGTGGTCTACGGTGTTCTGCTGTGGTCTGCTGTGGTCTACGGTGTTCTGCTGTGGTCTGCTGTGGTCTACGGTGTTCTACTGTGGTCTACAGTGTTCTGCTGTGTTCTGCTGTGGTCTACGGTGTTCTGCTGTGGTCTGCTGTGGTCTATGGTGTTCTGTTGTGGTCTGCTGTGGTCTACGGTGTTCTGCTGTGGTCTGCTGTGGTCTACGGTGGTCTATAGTCTTCTCCAGCTGGTTTGTTCATTAGTTAGTGTTAGGTAGTGCGGTAGGTTGGTTTATCTCATCCTCCTGTGGTTCAGAGGTCAGTGGTCTGTCGGTGGGGTTCTGAGGGTTTTGTCTCTCTGCTGACGATGGAGGCGTCGATCTGTCACTGGTAACCATCCGTATGCGGTCCAGAGATCGCCGCAGCAGGGGCCGAAAGGTGTTTCTGGAGCTCTTGGTGGCCTGACTGCTCTCCAGCGTTCTTCTGTTGACGTGCTGCAGCGACAGACGGCACAGGAGCGTCTGCAGGAACGCCGAGCGGAACTGGCGCGAGGATAGGTTATACAGCAGTGGGTTCAGCACCGAGCTCAGGTAGAAGAAGCTGTCGGCGACCGGATGAAGCTTCACGTAGCTGCGCAGGTAACTCACGGTCCACGCCGACTTGGGCACCGCCGCCGTCATCAGCCTGCGGATCTGATTGGGCATCCAGCACACGAGCAGAGCGCAGACGATCAGCACTAATGAGAACACAAGCACACACACACACTCACACACACACACACACTCACGCACACACACACACACACGCACGCGCACGCACACGCACACACACACACGCACACACACACACGCACACACACACACGCACACACACACACGCACACACACACACGCACACACACACACGCACACACACACACGCACACACACACACGCACGCACACACACACAGGAGCTTAATAAGAATCTGTCATCAGGATCCACTAGGACAGGTACAGTATCTGAGCCTGTAGAAGTAAAGTGTTTGCATTTTATACAAGGTTTCTTCTTTACCCCAAAAAAGTATTTTATGCAACTCTCGAATAGAGACTAACCAGTTTGATATTTCACCCGTATTCACACTTTTCAGCTAACTTGCTTAATTGGTTAGTGGATCACTGACCCGCATCCACGTGAGCTTTGGGAAGCGATTGTTTTATTCTGAATTATATAACACAAAATCACTTAATACATTATTGTTATATTTGATCTTATAATTCACACTATACTGAAAATAATGAGGCTTTATGATGTGCTTCTGTCTTTTTTTCAGTGTGGTTCTGTTTCTACACTTCAGCGTTTCTCATGTGCTGACAGACGTGGGTGTGCATCGGCTGTGAATCATGAAAGTAATGCATATTGTGACGTGGTTGTTATTTTTTTCATGCAAGTCTCTATAGAAAATAGAAATCACATAAACGTTTTGCCTCAAATCCTTGGTATTTAGTGAGAACCCAGAATTAAAATTAGTGTTTCTTTAAATGTATATATGTTTCGCCTGTTTACATGTGCACTTACTGTTTGTGTGCAATTACTCTTATCCGTTAGCTAGACTGCACAAGCAAATCGGTAGCTTTTCTTTCAGAGCCTAATTTAACAATGAGCTGGTGGAGGCTGCAGATGAGGCTGTGATCTCTGGGTTTGAAATGTCTGTCAGACTTTAGTGTTAATGCTTGAGTGTTATTGCGTGAGCTCAGTGGACTTTATAGAGGCTGATAGAGGGAACATGTTTCAGTGGATATTTGTGTAAGGTTGGGTCAGGGTAAAGGTGAACAGGACTCGTGTCACACATGAGATAATGAATGATGTCCTACCGAGGAAGAGGATGGTCTGTTTGCGGGACGCTTTTAGCCGTGCGCTCTCGTGTTTGGCTCCAGCTCCGTTTGCACCAGATTTGTTGGGTCCCATCGGGGCCCGCAGAACAGCGATCATGGCTCTGCACATGAAGGCCACGCCGCCCAGAACGAGCAGATAGAGCGCGAACGCGGTGAAGATGCTGGTGCGGTACATGACCCAGTGTTGGCTCAAGTTAGTGCAGAAGGTCAGGTTCTGCACCGGAGTCCGGCGGCCCTCAGGGATAACTCCTTCAGTTCCTGTGGCCACGAGCAGCGGCAGAGCCACGAGAGCCGAGCAGATCCAGGCAGACAGCAACAGCTTCGTCGTGCGGCTGCCGGACACGGCTTTATAGCGGAACGGGTGGCAGATGGCCAGGTAGCGCTCGAAGCTCAGCGAGGCGATGTTGAGGACGGTGGCGTAGCTGCAGGCCTCGAACAGAAAGCTGTAGATCCTGCAGGCGGCGTTTGGCTCAAGTTAGTGCAGAAGGTCAGGTTCTGCACCGGAGTCCGGCGGCCCTCAGGGATAACTCCTTCAGTTCCTGTGGCCACGAGCAGCGGCAGAGCCACGAGAGCCGAGCAGATCCAGGCAGACAGCAACAGCTTCGTCGTGCGGCTGCCGGACACGGCTTTATAGCGGAACGGGTGGCAGATGGCCAGGTAGCGCTCGAAGCTCAGCGAGGCGATGTTGAGGACGGTGGCGTAGCTGCAGGCCTCGAACAGAAAGCTGTAGATCCTGCAGGCGGCGTCGCCGGACGAGGACGAGAAGGGGAACCAGATGGCGCTGTAGAGCTCCACGGGCATCCCGATCAACAGCACCAGCAGGTCAGAGCAGGCCAGACTCAGCATGTGATCCGTCACGCTCTTCTGCAGGTATCCGCTGCGTTGCAGCCGCTGAGACACGTGGATGGTGATGCTGTTTCCCAGGATGCCGAGGACGAGGATGAGACTGTACAGCACAGTGAGGAAGATCTTCACCTCGTGACTTGGCTCCAGTTCTTTCCAGTCTCTCTGCACTTCCTCGTTCTCCTCCATGATGTCAGTCGCTCTGTGTGGACTTATTGACTTTAGTCCTGCTTATCTGCTCCGTTATCACGACCGTTAATCATCAAACCCACAAAGCTCGAAATCACAGCGTATAACTTGAAACAGAAAGTCTATGAATCCTTCATGATGAAGATCGGAGCATCTCACCTTGGCTCTGTCGTGTTAGTCTCCGCTTTAGACTCGACTCTTCCTCTGCTCGAGTTGGAAAGCTCTGCTGTGAGTTAATGATTAGAGTTAGACAAATGAACGCGGAGGCGGCGCGAGTTACTGCCGTGATCTGAGCCGAGCGTCGCTATTTGAGCGGGAACTATTAGTCACGTGATGCTTTACAGTACGAGGGTGTGTCCTGATCATCAGCCGCTGTGTGTGTGCGTTTACACAAGGTACAGCCACAGTACATACTTTAGAGTGTTTCAGAGTGAAGAATCACCTACAAATGATCCTTCTGTCATCATTTACTCTTCCTCATGTTGCTGTATGAGTTTCTGTCTTCTCTTGAACACAAAAGAAGATGTTTCGAAGAATGTTGATATTGTGAACTTTTTGTTTTTGCTCTCTATTGTGATAATTAAGTGCAACAGAAAAGATTAGGAAAAGGTTGTTCCATCCAAACAATAATTGTGGGTATTAATGGCACTGTTAATGGTTGTGATGAGGATTTGCACAGCGTTTGTCCTTCATCAGTCCAATCACAGGCTCAGATCGTGGGCTGCTGGATTTTGGGTATAGAACTTCAACATGATCTACACATCCAGATTTTGTTAAAACTATATTCCTCAAATTGCTCATCGATGCAAACAGCAGTTAAAGTGAGTTAACAGCTGCGTAATTGCTTTATGTCTGTTATTGTTGCACAAACGCAGATAAACACAAGTGCTGTAAAACACAGATAACTGGTCACGTGTGAGCACTAACCGGCTGGTAAACAGCTATGATCCGTAGCTTTTATTTCAGTCATATATTCCCAGTGTTTCTGGACCTGCTCGGTTCTGTTGACGCAGAGCTACTGAAATGGGTTCTGGACCGAAGAACATACAGATTAAAATTAACACATATTAAAATGTAATTGTAAACGGTATGCTTTATTTGTTCTTGTTGTTGTTGAAAGGAATCTTTAATGTCACCTTTGGTTTCAAAAAAGAATGTAGACCCGTGAGCCGTCCTGATTAAACTAGGACATGTAAAGCTAGTTAATTGAGAAACTGGGTCATCGTGAGTCTCTGAATCAGATCGCAGATGAATGACAAGCTCTGATGAACATCAAACCTGCCCAGAACATGTAAGTTTTACCCCACGACAAAAATATCAGAAAGAAATATTTAGTTTTATGAAATAAAGCCTAGTTTGTAGATGATCTTGCTGCTCTACGCTGTAATGCTGAATAATGTTTGACTGATTCTCTGCACACGCGCTCGACGGATGAATGCTGTAAGAGTGTTTGGGTTAGAAAGGTCACCTAGAGAAAACCAGATGATCTATTAGCAACAACTGCCAAAACAGGACTGTCCACTTAAAACCCTTCGGTCCGGGTGGACACAGGCCTAATAAAGAGTTGAGCTTGTGTAAACTGAGGATCTCTGCTCTGGAGGCACACTGCGTTCTTCTAATAAAGAGACATTCAGTGTTGCGTTCACAGTTATTGAATGTGATGTTGTTTTTTACTTCCTGGTAGAAACGGTGAGTGTGGCGACCAAAAGGGGCTTCAGAAGACACCGGGGCCCCGGGGCCTCATAGTACTGTAATCCGTCCTTGGGTTGTTCTGCTGTGTGTGTTGGAGGATTAAAAATGAATGGCAGGGCCGGAGAAGCGTCCCAGAATGCTGTGGACTGTAGAAATCAAAGTGACTTGATTAACTGCACAAGACAGACTTGTGTGTTGAGAATTTTGTGATCAGGCACATACAACCTAACATGAATAAACATGAAATCGCACACAGCACAAGTGTTTCATATAAACTAAGCCTAATGTTGCACGAGCTCCATCTGCTGTGAGATATTCATGTTAGGTTATATACTGAAAAAAATTATAAATGCAACACTTTTGTTTTTGCCCCCATTCTTCATGAGCTGAACTCAAAGGTCTAGGATTTTTTCTATGTACACAAAAGGCCTATTTCTCTCAAATATTGTTCACAAATCTGTCTAAATCTGTGTTAGTGAGCACTTCTCCTTTGCCGAGATAATCCATCCACCTCACAGGTGTGGCATATCAAGATGCTGATTAGACAGCATGATTATTGCACAGGTGTGCCTTAGGCTGGCCACAATAAAAGGCCACTCTAAAATGTGCAGTTTTATCACACAGCACAATGCCACAGATGTCGCAAGTTTTGAGGGAGCGTGCAATTAGCATGCTGACTGCAGGAATGTCCACCAGAGCTGTTGCTCGTGAATTGAATGTTCATTTCTCTACCATAAGCCGTCTCCAAAGGCGTTTCAGAGAATTTGGCAGTACATCCAACCGGCCTCACAACCGCAGACCACGTGTAACCACACCAGCCCAGAACCTCCACATCCAGCATCTTCACCTCCAAGATCATCTGAGACCAGCCACCCGGACAGCTGCTGCAACAATCGATTTGCATAACCAAAGAATTTCTGCACAAACTGTCAGAAACCATCGTGTGTGTGTGTCTGTGTGTGTGTGTGTGTGTCTGTGTCTCTGTGTGTGTTTATGCTTTGATATATTGTAAGTAAAATCGTGTTTAAAACTGAAAGAAAACAGCTGGTTCTTTTGTGCGCAGGCACGTGTTTGAGGCGCGCGCCCCCGGTTACGTCATCGCTGTGCGACGCTCGTGTCCGCTCTAGGGTGCGCGCTTGAATGCGGAAGTGGAAAAAACGCTTCCCTTCGCGCTTCCGGGTTCCGCCTCTTGCACAAACGGACCGACTGATCACTCGTACCGGGAGCTCTCCGGCGCTGAACGCACTCGAGATGGCCGCTCGGTTACCGGCGTGTGTTGTGGACTGTGGCACGGGGTGAGTACTCAGACACCGGGCTCGCGCTGAGTGTGTGACAGCAGTGAGCTCGCGGTGTTGACGGAGGACGCGTGTCTGAGGCTGGGCGAGCAGCGGGTCGCAGGACACTATTATAGTAATGCTATAGTTATAGTAATGCTATAGTTATAGTAATGCTATAGTTATAGTAATGGCTCAAACTAAACACTTAGAGAGTCTGAAGAGCGGGGAATGAGTGAATCAGATTTCTTTACTAGTGCGCATGCGCGCAGCTGCTTCCTCTGCCTGCGCTTCCGGGTTCTCGCCGCGGCCTTATAAGGACAAGCAGAAGTATCCAGAGCCTCTGTTAAACCTCATGCTGTTCACGCGCGAATAACACACAGATTTCGACTATAGAAACCGAAATCCGTCACTTTATAGCCGCGGGCCTTCTGTGTGATGTTTTATTTCTGACAGTCATTTGTTCTGTTCTGATTCGTGCGGAATTAAACTGAGCTTCAGAACAACAGTGTGACATGTAGAGAAATGAAAACATCCAGTGTGTGTCTCTGTGTGTGTGTGTGTCTCTGTGTGTGTGTGTGTCTCTGTGTGTGTGTGTGTCTCTGTGTGTGTGTGTGTCTCTGTGTGTGTGTGTGTCTCTGTGTGTGTGTGTGTCTCTGTGTGTGTGTGTGTCTCTGTGTGTGTGTGTGTCTCTGTGTGTGTGTGTGTCTCTGTGTGTGTGTGTGTCTCTGTGTGTGTGTGTGTCTCTGTGTGTGTGTGTGTCTCTGTGTGTGTGTGTGTCTCTGTGTGTGTGTGTGTGTGTCTCTCTCTGTGTGTCTCTCTGTGTGTGTGTGTCTCTCTGTGTGTCTCTCTGTGTGTGTGTGTCTCTGTGTGTGTCTGTGTGTGTTTCAGACCCACAAGTGCGCTAAAAGTCAACTTCCGTTTAGAGCCTTAAATAAATATTTTTTTTTTCTTTGCAAAGGCATGTGTTGGTTAATGCAGTGTGATTATCGTTCTGAAAACAGTGAGCTGTTGAGATCCTTCAGGAACTGAGTCGTTGTGATTTTAAATCTCTCTGTGTGTCTCTCTGTGTCTCTCTGTGTGTGTTTCAGACCCACAAGTGCGCTAAAAGTCAACTTCCGTTTAGAGCCTTAAATAAATATTTTTTTTTTCTTTGCAAAGGCATGTGTTGGTTAATGCAGTGTGATTATCGTTCTGAAAACAGTGAGCTGTTGAGATCCTTCAGGAACTGAGTCGTTGTGATTTTAAATAAATAAATCTGTAACACACAGAATGAAAGGCTCCCAATGAAGAAGGGTTTGGTTCGTTCTGATGCTCTAGAGCAGGGCTGCCCAAGCTCGGTCCTGGAGGGCCGGTGTCCTGCAGAGTTTAGCTCCAAGCCCAATCAAACACACCTGAAGCAGCTAAGCAAGCTCTTACAGGCATGCTAGAAACTTCCCGGCAGGTGTGTTGAGGCACGCTGGAGCTAAACTCTGCAGGACACCGGCCCTCCAGGACCCAGTTTGGGCAGCCCTGCTCTAGGGTCTGCAGTGTCTGTCTGTTTCCTTCATCAGATCTAAACCGATGAGGATTCTGAGCAGTAATGTGTGTGCTTTGTGTTTCAGGTACACTAAACTGGGTTACGCAGGAAACACGGAGCCGCAGTTCATCATTCCCTCATGTGAGTGTGTGTAACTCTGGCTTTGTCCAAATACCCACACTTGCAGTCTTTGCACTTGACCACTTGATTACTTAAATGACGGATTTCCTGTATTTGGCCGAAGTCGTCAAGTGAGCATGAAGAGCACAAGTGTGTGTCGAACTCTTCATCACCTGATGGGACACACTTATAGTGTTGTAAAAATGCAAGTGTTTACATAGCTTTATTTTAATTTGAAATACTTTGCATTTTAAAATCAACTTCTAAATGTCTGTTCAGTAGTCGCTATAACATGACATCATTTTAATTTGTGGTGCTTCTAATTAAATGATAAAAAGCAGTTGCAAATGTTGTACAAAATAAATATCACCACTACTCATCTTTGCACCAATAAAAGTAAAAACACTGTTTTTCTACCAAATTATATGTAATATCTAATTAATATATTAATATTTAACTTGCATTGGAAAGGTTTCCGTGACCTCTCGCGAGATTTCGGCGAAAAGTCTCACGATTGATTTCCAGAACATGATGCATGATGGGATACACTAAGCCTTGAATAGCGCTCCGGAGCGGAATTCGAGATAGTGTGGGTTTAGTATCCATTAAGGGCACTGCACTTTGGCATTTTGAAGACATGGGACAGACTTGATCACTTGCTTCCTGTCACGCGCACGCGCTCTCAAGTGGCCAAGACCGCAAGT